AGAGCAAGATTAAATCTGCGACAAAAAAAAAAATGTCGAATTCTTTCTACGTACGTTACAAGATTATTTCTAGCACTTGTTAACTCAGCCCTTTAAATCTATGCTTTCAGATGAACGTTAAAAGTCAACAGTAGTATTAAGCTTTAAAACGAGTAAAGGAAACAGTAAAGGGTTGAAACTTTAAAACGAGTCAAGGGAACAGCTGCAATTTAAAATTATGAATATTTAATAAATCCTAATATAAAAAAAACGGGAATTTTCCTTACTTAAAATAAATCGTTTATAGGTTATCACAAGTCACCGTGTTGTCTATAGATAAAAAGTTGGTCAACCTATTCTACAACCCAAACTTCAGTAATAAGTAATCTTCATTCAATGATCGCTGTTGTGATTAGTCTCGGAAAGGCTTAAAATTATCTTCCACTACACACAAAATTTTGATTTACGGAGTAATATAAATAAATGAGAGTAATAACTTTGAAGATTTTGCTTACTGCTGATGATAAAGATTATTCGGTACGACATAACGGCTGTATCCAATCGCAAATATGTGTTTTAAGGATTAAATTGGGTCTAGTGTCCTTAAGGTATCTAAATTTGACGTTTTTAGTGACATACCTGCTAAAAAAAAACGCTTCCTATGATTCTACGCAGATAATGGTTTTACTCATTCAGTTTTGCTTTCTCTGGCTCACGGCAGAGGGCTTTTATAATTAACGGACAGGTATACCACGCCCTTAATTTAAAAAAAAAGAAACTTCGGCATGACTTTGAAAAAGCAAGAAAATAATTAAAGTCGATAATACTTATTTCCAAAAAAAGTAATCTGATTTCAAAATAGTTTACTGGTTTTACAGAGACGTGATGAAGGTCGAACGCCGATAGCCTAAGCCTTACGAAACCTTTTTATTGAGTGCGTCATTGGATAGAGGAGTGGTGATCTGACTTGGAGTAGCTAGAGCACCCATCAGGATGCCTCCCGAAATTTTAAAGTTCAAATTTTCTGGATACTCTAAAACAAACACTGGTCCATGTTAAAATCTGTCATAGTTCGGAAATTTCTAGCTTAGCAAAAGTCTCTGTCATAGCAAGACAATGTACAATTTTCCCGCCAATACAGACGCGTACGCGTTTCATCTTTTCCCGCCATATCCACAGGTTCAGTAAAACTCCTTTTTGGAGACCCCCATATCGCTAGGCCCCTGTAAAAGACTGTATGGTAGAAGCATAACAAACCTTTCATATCAATATTAAATCTTTTTATCTAGTGAATGATCATAAATTAAAACTCATGATGATATTTTGATCGGCGGAATCTTTGTTTGTTTATGAGAAAATAAAATGGTAAAAACCACACCTTATATCGAGCATTCAACTACGCACACTCCACTGATTACTATCTTCCTGTAAAAAAAATATGAATAAATAATAAATCTTCCTGTGCAGCAAATGATTGACGTGTAAAATCTGTTCGATATAAAAAAATCCGTAGTTATTCACAAATGATAAATGTTATTACAAATGATAAATGTCCAATAATGAATCTAAGAGCGATAACTGAAAGCATTTTCTAAAGGGTATTATTTTCGTAACACTGCATAATGCAAAAGATACTTGTGAGTTAATTGACTTTTAAGGTGTCAACTTGCCGCAATCTGTCTCCATGGAAACCTAATCTCTTGATAAGATGGCGGTGGTAAGTTATTAAAAGGAGCTAGCTAGTTTTTCGGCTTTCCTAAGACATTCTAACAAATCGATAATCAGTCTGTAAAATTACTTAGGTAATTTTGTGCAAAGTTGGGCTCGGGTGCCGAGTCACGTCCAACACGAAATAACTTATTTTCTTCCCAAATACGCGTTTAGCTACGGAAAACCGGCGACGTGGTTCATAATGATCAGAACTAACAAGCAGTAAATCAAATAAATACGTGATCATTCACGATAGTCTTAGAAAGTGTAGTGAATAAGTGCTTTTTTTGTCTAACTAGTCCAAAGGGGGGCATATTAAATTTTTAATTAACTTTGATCAAAGTTGGAATTTATATGGTCCACTTGTCATGTTGTTATTTCCCTACTAGTTTTTAACTTGTTCGTTATTATTCACCCATAACTGACATTAATAAATAATCATATAATCATATAATCACTAAGTTTTAAAAAACTGGGACACTTGTCATGTCGTTCTTTCCCTCGACTGTTTTTTTTTTTTTTTTTTTTTTTTTTTTTTTTTTTTAATTACTTAGGTATATATCAGCACGTTCGTATTTCGAACAAGCTCTTCATTCTTGGACGACAAAAGATTAAATAAACTTTTTTTTTTTTTTAAAATATATAAAATGGTTTGTCTACCATTGACGTAACGTAATGTAATCCTAATTTCCTGACAAATTACTGAATGTTTGGTCGACAAATAAGCCAATAGAAGCGACTAAGATTATAGACACAATATCAAGACCCATGAACGTGGCATTGAGAGTGGAAAAAGATTGCCGAAATGAACTGATGAATAGAAACACATGTATGCTTATCAAATGCACTCTATCATAAATGTTTTCAACGAAAACTAATGCTCAGTCATTTAATGTAATTATTAAGTTTGAATATTTTCAGCGTTCAATTAGGAAAATGCTATATTTCCTGGATTTTTTTATCGGCATCGCACGTGAAAAAGAGTTGTTAGGTATCTCCCTTGATTCGAAGTTTTTCCGGGTTCTCCGGATATCCTCCCTCCGTAAAACCTAGCTGAATTTTATTTCGATCTGAAAGTTAGCTGTGCCCTGACTTAGATCAGCCCAGAGCCGTATTGTTTCAGGGTTCCGCGATCTGTGATTAAGGCATTCCCTGACTTAGATCATCCCAGAGGTTGTTTTAGAGTTTGATCTGTGATTAAGGCATTCCCCGACTTAGATCAGTCCAGAGGTTGTTTCAGAGTTTGATCTGTGATTAAGGCATTCCCTGACTTAGATCAGTCCAGAGGTCGTTTCAGAGTTTGATCTGTGATTAATGCCTTTACTGACTTAGGTAAGTCCCAAAGGGTGTTTCAGGGTTTGATATGACGGGAGTTTTCCTGGCCTGCCCTGACTTTGATCAGCCACAAAAGGTTGTTTATGCAGGGCATCCGTAATATTAGCCGGAGGTTTTTTCTGGACAATATGCCATGGTTTCATATGTTCCACGGAAGTCCTGCGCTCTTGTGCGTTCTTTTTATGGCTGTCTGCTATGATCTGAAGCACAGATCCAAAAATACTTGACGACACTTGCTTTCTATGGCATAAAGCGTGTCTACTAGCTCAGCAACCTCAATCATTTTTCAAAATTTATCACATTTATCAGTTACCGCCAATTAAGAAGAGGTAAAATTTTAAAAATACATTTTGTCATGAATAAATATAATGTATTTTCGACGATTTATTAGCCATAATTTGTTGCGTTTATAGATACTGGGTAAAGCCTCCATTTTTATCGCATGAATTTTTTTTTAAATATTCATTCCTATCCAAAAAAGATAATAATTGGCGCTGAACTGTGTTTGGCGTATTTTTGTTCTACTTTGTCCAGTGTCAGGTTGGGAAAGTCATTCTAAGGAATTATCGGAATTACGAAACAAATTTGAGGAGACAGTTAAATAGGAATAGCACATGATCAGAAAGAGTGTAGCATACAATTTGTAATGAGACAGGTTATTTTTTATTCACATCACAATTCCGTCGCCCTGAACAACCTAACATTCAATCATACTAACAAAATTGAACACACAAAAACGTACTTTGCTAGCTTACACGAGTAACTGGTCGTTAATATTTCATATCTTGATATTAAACCTTTTCAATGCTTCTAATCAGGCGACTTCGCGAATTCAAGGATAACTTTACCTCGCTCTTAAAACCGTCGTTCCCAAGCGATGTTGTTTCTTTTTTTTCTTCTTCTTCTTCTACTTCTTTTTTTTTTTTTTTTTTTTTTTTTTTTTTCTCTTCCTTTTTTTCCTTTTTCTTCTTCTTCTTTGAAAGACGCCGACGATCAGAACTAAATTAGTTTTCAATTGATTTTCGAGGAACTTCTTTCAAGAGGGAATTCTACTCACTCACGAACAAGGTAGCATAGAGTCAGTCAGGGTGTCAAAAAAGAGAAGGCATAATTCATAATTTCTTTAGAGACGACAATTTATTTCCAGTGGTACGTAGATAAGCATATTTTAATCTTAAGTTACTTTAAAATAGAAATTTCATATATTTTTGGCAAGCATCCAGAAGAAATTAGGGCTGTATGAGTAGCAATTAATACGAAAGAGAAATATTACCGAATTGTTATTAATCTATAGAATTCGATTTTTCATTTCACGATGCGATTCAGTTAGACTTCGCAATTTGCATACCTTTTTAGCTTGATATAATTTGCTTAGCAAAACCTTTCTGGGGCTAGCTAGGAAAACAAGTGCTTCAAGGCAATGTTCACTGAACGAAGGGATGTGGTTGACATCCCGAAAATTCTGATTCAAGAAATAAAACCTGGACTTTTTTTTTTTTTTTTTTTYTTYTTTTTACTWTTGTAGTAGCGGAGGTACTGCAATGTAGAAGTACTGAGTGAAAATAATCAGTTTAAAAAAGGCACGGTAGAATTGTAAATTTTGCAACCCTTATCTATCTTTTAATATTTCCAGTGACTTAGCAATTTACGCGATAACTGAAAGCAGTTTTTTTATGAAGTAAATAAATTTGAAATTGTTTTTATCTGTTTGCAAAGGGATGTTCCATAAGTACAATCTGCATCAGAAAAATTGTTGACAAATTGTTCAAGCCTTCCGAGAAAGAGTTACTTTTTCGGCGAGCGAATATAATAATCTTTAATATAGTTCCTTACAGCAATGCATAATCTGTGGTATTATGCCAAAAGTCCTTTAGTTACAATCTGGAATCGCTAGATTATTGATATTACTCACTTTAAATACAAAATCAAGACAGTTTTGCGTCTTTATAAAAATAAGATTTTGAACTAACACTTACGTGAGTAAAAAATCGGTCTTCATCAGTGATCATCCATGATTATCCGTTTCCTACACGTGAAAATCCCAGGTAAATGAAAGCTTTAATTTTTTACCGACAACTCCAATGTGTTGCTTTTACTTATATATTACTAAAGCTGGAGTGAGGACCGAAAACTCAACCTTGTTAATACTCCTTATAAGTGGGCGTCCGCTATGAATATAATGAATAATATACGGTACAAAATGGTTTTATTTTGTCTTGTCTGAGGTTGGCAAAGTATTGTGGGTTATATGGGCTTTCATCTAGTTTGGAGCTTAGCTCTGTTGTAATTGTCCCACGCTGTGATACAACAGCCAAAGCACAATAGATTTACGAATTTTCAAATATGTTGCCTAAATATTTTTTTCCTTTTTYTTTTTTTTTTTTTTTTTTTTTTTTTTTTTTTTTTTTTTTTAGTTAATCTCATCTTAATTTGATTTTCCTTCCCTTTACTCCGGTATGCCAAAGTTATAAATACTTTTTTTTTTTCAGAAACATTTTGAACAATACATGGACATGAGTATGTTAATTCACTAAAAAAATTAATTAGTTAATTAATTAATTTAGAAAAATTTTAAATTAAAAAAAAAACACTTTGCTAATACCGTATAGCTGCGCAAATCTATTACGTCTGTTTGTCTAAAATACTAAAATATAGCTGATTATATTCACTAGTTACCTCTTCTGGACCTCTAACTATGCCATCCTTCTTCCAGGCGGTTTGGTCCATTGTGTAGTAAGCTGCCAAAATTAATCTCTTAATCCCTTTACTTATTTTCATATAAAATCTATACTCAGTCAGCAATTATTTCATAAATGCAAAACAAATTTTCTTTGATGTTAGTGTTTCCATAGTGACCGGTAGTATCCTTGACAACAGATTACGTGGGTAAAAAAAAGATGAAAATAATTGTTATTTTTTTCTCTGTGCTCATAATTTTTACACCAATTAAAACATCGCTCTTAGAGCAAAACTTAAGAAGGAAAGAAATCGAAGAATTTTGTTTTGGTTCTGATAATATTTTTTTCTATAATAATCTACGATTTTTTTCTTATTTTCCATGAAAATACAGAACTTCTATGTCGTTAGACACATTGTATTTCAAACGGAAGAGATTAGGTAACCGTTCGTAGTTCCTTCCGTTTAGATTGATTTTTCTTGTGATATTTTGGTAAGTTTGCAGATAATCCCTTATACTCGTCAATTTGCTAAATGGTAGTGTCTAAGCTGTACCACGAAACTTTCAAAGATATTCATTCTTTATTTGGTTAGAAAATTATGAGTATAGGAGAAAAAGTAATTAACAGCGCCAAGAATATATAAATTGTTTTATTTCGTTCAACTAAGAGTTTGCCTCCTCTCTTTAATTCTGTATCTCTCTGGCTCTTTGCCTCTCCTCTCCTCTCCTCTCCTTTCTTCTCTTCCCTCTATTCTCACTCTTTCAGATTGACTACGTAATCCAAGGAACTAGTTTCCAGATAAATCATATATTTTGTACCTTTACAAACCAAACGTCCATCAATATCCAGATTACATTTCAAAGTTAGCAACATTACTCAGTATTTATTAAAGTATTGATACTTTGTCATTTTTATGAAACGGACTTTCATCACCAAATTAAATCAATGCATCTACTTCGAAAAATACCGAAACACGGCTATTTCCTTTTCTAGTTTGAAGTCGACAGAACATTAATCAAAGGACATTGTTATACTTAAAATAATGCAGTTAGTTACATACATGCCTAAAGGGCCTTCATAGCCTGCAGAAACAAAGCGTTCTTTGACGGTTATTTTTAGTGGAAATTCGCGACGGAAGATGCTGGCCGGAACATATCAACAATTCTGAGTGATTTGAATCATCTTCTACTACCGACTCTTTGTTCAAGATAAAAACCACAGTTAATTGTAAAACAAGTAAATCAACTAAGTCCTCCGGTAGAGTTGTGTTGGATTCTTTTTGAACGGTTCAACATCATTACGGATAACTAAAGCTGTAAAGGTTATGGGGTGCGGTCTGTGTCCGGCATTAAAAGGTTTTAATAGGAAGTACGATGAATGAAAGACAGTTCTTCTGTTATTTGAGGGCCTGTTTTCCTTACATCAAATCAGTTGTTTGAGATGCTAAATGTGCATTGAAGTGAGCTTTGTCGCAGTCTTAATCTTGTTTGATTAAAGAAAAACCGGAATATCGACTTATCGGACCGCAATATACATATAACCCAATAACACGAAAATCCATTGCAATCCACTTTGGTGTTTACAATTCTACATGAGAGTTGTTTAGTATTTGTCGTAGAAGAAGAATCTATTTTTGGGAAACATATCTGATAAAAACAAATATTCAAATATACCGCTTTTTTATCAGACGAGACTTATTAGACGATAATATCAATAACTGTTAGTCGATCAGTCCAGGTACAATATACTTTGAGGGAATTACCCACAGACTCTATTGAACCCTTTAACAGCAATATTCATAAATAAATGATGAGTAATTAGGAATCCAATGAATTTTTCCTGGCACCTTTTTTTAGATAAAAATAGATTAGATTTTTCAAATATGTAAATTGGTAAGAAGTTTTTCACTGCATTATATTTCCAAATAGAACAAAAATCCGCGTTAACATTTCATTTTTCCCCCTCAGGGAATAATATTCCAAATGACTGTATGTAGGTAATACAAAAAACCTTGCATAAACCAACTTCAATTGTTCGATCTGGTTGGCGTTTTTCGTTCGATTTGAATTCTTTCCTTTCTCGTTCGAATTTCATTTTTCTCGT